ATTAATATATTATATAAATATAAATATAATATAATAATAATATAATTAATAATATGAATATTGTTCGCTATTCTGCGAAAATCTATGACAAGTTTGAATTTCTAACTTGATTATTATACGAAGAAAATTTTCAATAAATAAAGCGAAATTACTCGTTAATTATTAGGTTTAGGGCAAAAGAAGGTCAATAACTTTTCACATAAAATTTGGCATCCTTCCATATTTTGGTATAAAAAAATATAGTATTCCGCTTAAAAAAATGAAGTTAGCCTTCGAATCTTCGAAAAGCTTCCACCTATAGAAAGAATAAATACACTACATAATGTACTTCTTGGAATTATGCAACATCTGTATGCCAAACGTTTTCGAGCATACTTTGGAAGTTATACAGGTGTGCAAGTTGCGTGGACCACCCTGTACAGTAAATATATACACTTTTGCACAATTTACATAGAAGATGTACGACTCGTTGCTTGTACAAAGTAAACAAATATGTTGCAAATATTCGGCACATTTGTTATGATATTTATTATAGTATAGATCTTTATAATTGTTACTATACCTACTCGTTACATTTTGCACAGTATTTATTAGAATATAGATCCTTCGAATCGTCATTGCAATTGTCTCCATCTATGAATTACTCGAAATAATAACTTTGAGTAGGTGACTGTAAGTTTTGGACAGACATGATAACTTTTTAGCATAGAAAAATAGTCCATAGTCCAAGCAGAAACTATCTGATATATTCACGAGAGTATTACGTACGTTTTTACGATGGTTGGCAATGTTTCATATTAAATGATTCTAACCAAACTAAAGAGGACTGCGTCGAAGTGCACCCTAATCTATAAATCTCCTTGTCGCTCGCTGTTCGACAAACAGGGTCAATAAAAAGAACAAGTGAACGAGACAAAACGATAAAGAGTATGTTGCATCTCTTAACCAGATGCCAATAATGTAAACCTAAAATCTATAAATCGTCTCATGTAACAAAGGCTGAAAGATGGATTGGAATTGACCCTTTTTCGCTCTGACGATCAGTTGAACAAATGATATGTAATCCAATAGCATCGATATGATCGTTGAAATAACTCGATAATAAATTGTACATTATTATATAAACAATTCTTGATAAAGTAATAAAATCTACATTCTTTGCTGATTCATCAATTCGATGTATACTAACTCATACAATTCGGTAAAGATAAATAATAAAAGACCTAAAAAATCAACAATAAAAATAGTAAAAATGAAATGGAAGTGTCGAGCAAAGAATTTTCAGTGAACAAAAGGAAATTGTTATAAATAAAGAAAAAAAGTAAGCAAAGAACGATATACGGAATATTTTTTTGAAAAGCAAGTAATTTGAAAAAATTATAGATAAATAAATTGAAAATACCAAAGAACATACAGTGAAATAATCTAAACTGTCATAAATCAAGAGAAACCAAAAAATTGTTTAATCAAGGTACGTCTCGTGCAATATTTTCTTTAGACGAATTAAAATGGTAAAATGACCCCCAGTCTTAAACATGATCAAAAAATCAAACAAAGGACCAATCAGAGACCAATAAAAATCGAATAATTATGTTCAAATTGATATAAAACGTTCTGAAATTTTGTCGTCTACGACTTAATATTTTCACTATCACGTATTTATGATTTCATTGATCAATAGTTATCAACCAATATCGCGAAAGGACTTTGCATCATTATAATTTTATCTATTTTAAAATAAATTTATTTATTTTATAGTAATGAATAAAAATTAATTTTTAAAATAATGTATAAAAATAACGTTAACTGTCAGAATTATACGATAAAAGAGAAATAACACTAACTTCGATGCTTTTTTATTTAATAAGACCTGCGTGTCAAGTACCGACGAGTTGACTGCAGTCAACGAGAAAATATTCGGTTATCGAAGTGTTAAATAACGACCGAATTTAAAATTTAGTCGCGTATCACGATCATCCGGTGCAACGATCGGCGATGTGGTCAACAATAGGTCGATCGGGAGCAGAGCGTTGAGAGAGGAGCTTAAAACGCTGCTATTGCGTGCGAAAACGTGTTTGAGCGTCAATTAGCAGAACGAGCGTACATTTCCTATAAACTGTGGGAATGCATCTAGGCCTGTATTTCTCGTGAGCGCTAATGCTGCTCGCTGTCGAAATGAGAAATTAGTTAACGCCTTGTTAGGTTCTTAAATTTCGATTTTTCTGCTGTTGCAAGATGTCAAAAATTTATTTTACGTTAATTTCGACCGATGATGGAAAAGATTTTTTAAAGTAAAAAAACGAGTTGATAGGCAAATTCATGGGTATACGATAATTGAGAAGCGTTCGCTTGTTAACTTTATTTATCTAGACATTCGTGACTTTCATTAGAACTAGCGATTTCTAACGTGGGATATATAAAGGTTTCTATGAATATTGCTATTAACATTTTTAATTTTTATCGAGATATACTCTTGAATATAGAAATACGTAAATTGTTACCATTACTGTTTATTCCTATCCTAATGTGAGATACATAAAGGTTTCTATGAAAGTTGCCATTAACATTTTTAATTTTTATCCAGATATACTCGTGAAAAAGGAAAATACGACAATCTTTATGTAAATTATTACCATCATTGTCTATTCCTATCCTAATGTGAGACATAGTTTCTATGAAAGTTGCCATTAACATTTTTAACTTCTATCGAGATATACTCGTGAAAACAAGAAATACGTAAATTTTAACATAGATTATTACCATCACTGTTTATTCTTAATCAGATATACTTGCAGAAAAAAGAAATTTCTTCTAAATTTCAAAACAGTTCAGTTTCGTTTTGACAGACATTCATTATTATTTAACTATCCATCTATTATATTTACCTAAATATAACATATACATAAATAATGTATAAAATTGTAGAACAAAGTACACGATTAATTATTTTAATAATTAAAATAAAAATCAATTTAACATTTCAAAAAGCAACAGCTAAAATGAAAAATCCCAAATCAGGCTTTTCAAGCAATTCCCAATTTCTACTCTTACAAATCTTAAATATGAGCCATTCACGGGCCTTTTATATTCATTCTTTCGTGGAATTAATCGGTTTGGTAAATGAACAATCCATACATCAATCTTCCTCGTTGAACATAACCAAAAAATGCAACGAGAAAGAAATATTTCACCAAAAGGCTACAACCAAACGAATCTTCAGAAACGTGAAATATCATAAATTAGACTCTTTTCGCAGTTGGATTACCCTAATCGCGTTTTTCACGTCTTTTCTGCCGAATGAAATAATACAGACTTAGAAGATGTTCAGCCAAGGAGTGACGCGATGAGCACTGACTGATCTCAGATGAATGAGCACGAATGTTTTTTTCCACACGTAACCCCGTGAAACAATACATTGAAAACGATTAAAACGAAATTGAGTAAACAACGTCGATTCATCGAGCTCAAACGTTCAGATAGAGAATAAGCTGCAACAGAGGCTACCTAGTCGGTATTACGTAGAAGCAAATAGGCAGAGAAAAACGGATGTAAATTCCATGTTCTACCTAGGGTACAGCTACTAATTAACGCAGTTCGCTGGTACGACAGTGTGCGCCGAAATATTCCATTATTAAAGACTCGACTACATCGGCAACTGGAACGTTTGTTTGTTTGAATGAACGCTGGCAATCTCGCTGAATATAAATGCTCCCTACTTAACCAGCGACTGTCACGAGGTATCGAAAGAGAGAAAGAAGGGAAGAAAGGAAGAATGGAAATATTCGTATCGAGGATGAGTGTATATCTGCGAGCAAATTGCTCGAGAAAGGACTATCTGTCTACTGGTTAGCACGTTTCGTGCCTCGTGGATGAAGCTAGAACCTCGATCGCGAGGATCTAGTGACTCACGTATTCGTTTGTATGGTTTTAGACTCGGAGAAGTATGGAATACGAAGCGTCGATCTCTTTGCATGTTTAACACATTGAGTGAATCAGTAAAAATGATCTGCTTCGGAGTTTCCGTTTTTGAGGTTAATCGAAGAGGTAGATGATTAGGATAAAATAAAGTTTACCTTCTGTGGAGATAGAAACGTAGTTTACACGTACTTATGTCATTCTTTAAGACGACTAAATATTAAAATATATTAATAATATAGTATATTACATCCATTTTTGAGGTTATGCGAAGAGATACATAATTAGGATAAAATTAAGTTTAACTTCTGTGGAGATGGAAACGTAGTTTATATATATTTATGTTACTCTTTAAGACGAATAAATATTAATATATAATAATATACTATAGTATATTATATAAAATAGTCTTATTCTTCGTGATATGTAATATTTTTAATAATTTTAAATAATTTCAAATTTTAAAGTATATTAATAATATATTTTCTCATTCTACCATTTTAATCTATAATTATCCACATACACTATACTTGGATACACTTTACAGGTTGATAATTCTAGCACTAAATCCTTTTCCAATTTCTAAAACCCTCGTTGAACCTAATCAATATCGAAATGAAATTTGTCTTTTAATTTTACATACGTGATTATATTTACTATTAATTATTATTTATTATTATTTACTATCATTATTATTATTTACATTACTTATTAATCACATTTACATTTTTCATCAAAAACATGAACACAAATTTTTCGATCACACTATCTATGCCCTAACTATCGCTTTAGCTGACACTAATGACAATAAGTATGAAAGAAGATTAACGTGCCAACCCAACTACTACTCCTCTGTCTAACCAGGTACCCTAACCTAAGGTTCCTCGCTCAATTTTCAATTCCCCAAGATCCTAGGGGAAGCTTCAGTAACCGCGTAACCAGTTCAAGGAATTAGTTCTCCAATGACCATTGTCCTCTATGACTCGATTCAACGAAAGCAGATGTAAATACCCACGTAAACCTAATGTAAACCTAATGTAAAGCAAATGTAAACTTAAACCGATTATTACGAAATACCGACTCACCCGTACGATGTCCAACAGCTACACGAGAATGGATTCTGTCGATTCGACACACACACCACAGCTAAAGGAAGACTTTCCTACGAGAGCGCACGGACTCGAAACGATGACACCAAACGAAAGAATGAAAGGGAGTGAGAGAATTACATAACAAAACGGGGATCCAACGATTCGACAGCTCGATTCGACACAGTACCGGACCTCGACTAGCGCGCACTCACCGACTTACTTTACTGAATCTAATTCAACACTCGACACAACGTCCCACCTCCGTATGTTTCGCGTGTGGTGGGGTGGCATGACAAAGGAGCAGACCTCGTGATGAGTTGTTCATTGTACATAATCGTACACCGCGAAGATACATTTATTCAAATCAATCCGGCGTGTCAGGTACCAGGCCATCCTAGGTGACGGTTCACCGGTCCACCTGAATAATTAAAAATCGGTTCTTTGTCGAGCGTGATCGTTTCGCGGGCACCATGACGTTAGCCGACACTCGGCAATCATTCGCGAAAACTGGCCCTGTGTTCGCCCTGTGGCCCTAGGTTGCGCCAACCTACAGTGGAAAAGATTGATTCACCTGCGAGGAATAGGGGGAGGACTTTGGTAAATTATGAGGTGACACGGATCGGATCGTTATCGTAGAACTGGGAACGGTTGTTGGATGTTACGAGAGCTCAGATGTCGGCTGTTTAAGAGATCGAGGAATGTTGGGTACTTCCCTCCACTTCCTTTTCGATGAAACTCGAATCTTTTGGGACATTTGTTAACTTGCAAAGGAACGATGATTTTAGAACAGATTCAACCGAGAATTTTTGTTTATATTTTTTATATATTTATTTTTATTCCATCTATTTATTATTATTTATATTATTTATATAAAATTGCTTCGTAATCGTTTTTACTGTAGTATAACTAGCAGAATTTTTTGTCGTTTTGTAATTATAATTTTTATAATTTTTCTTTCTTTTTTTTATTGTAATTTGGTATTTGTTATGTGTACGTAATTTTGGTAAGTCAAAATTTAAATTCCAAGTTGAGAATAAAACGCGTTAAGGTTTTGATATATTATATTTTATTATCTTATTACGTTATAAAAATGTGTCAAGTATGAAACGAGATAATTTAATGCCAAAGATTGTCGATAAATATCTTTGCCTTCGCAAATTTGTAGACTTGGATTTCAAGAAATCGTGTCGTCCAAACGAAAACTGAAATAATTTCTCTAGATAAAGCGCGGTTCGAACAAGATCGTATCAAATCAGATTAATATATCCGATAAAAGGATTTGCGCGATTATAAAAAATTCTATATTTCAAAGTAATAATGTTGATTGATTTTCAACATGATTCACGTTAGATAAACCGGCAAACAAAAGAGTTTCGCTGCAAAATAAGATGTATATCAATATCGTATTGCTTTTTCGTTTCCGTTGGAAACCGTGTATCGTGGCTGTCAGAGATTAATAATTTTAGACCAGGCTTATGATACGGTCGTGATTTCTTTGCTATTCTTCCAGATTCAGATTTCGATAAACAACTTCAATTATATCACACATTTTCATTTCCTGTTCTGGGAAGCTTCAAGGTTTTGAACGTTAACGAGAAGTCTTCGAGTCTTGCCTTGTTTCTCAATGGCAATTGATGTATAGTAATTTCCTCGTGTCTCGAGTTTTACGAGCATTAGCGACTGTCGTTTTTCTCTAAAATGGAGGATCCATGAATTTTTTACGGCTTCCTGAAAAATTGCGCGTGAAAAATGAATTGTTGCTAAAAATTTGCGACATCACCAATCCTTCATTGGTCAATGAGTCTTCATTGGTAATAGCCTATCAGGAATATGAGGATATGCATATGAGTACATCCTCGACAGGTTAGTAGAGGAATGCAAGCTAGAACGAGAGACTTCGTAAATTCAGGAAATGAAACTGGCAATAACATTCATAACCTCGAGACTCGCAATGGTATTCGGTCACTCGAGATTTAAACTGTCAGTTGTTGAACATCGAGTATTACTTGCAGGCATATAAAATTAAGAATAATTTTTAAACATACAGGATTGAAAATAGCTTTTAAATATTCAAGATTGAAAATAATTTTCGTAACTAACTTTTAAGATTAAAAGTAACTTATAGACACTCAGAATAGAGAATGTATTTTAGACATTAAAAATTGAAAATAACTTTCAAACATTCAGGATTGAGAATACCTTTCAGATATTCAAGATTGAAGATAATTTTCGTAACTAACTTTTAAGATTAAAAATAACTTAGACTCTCAGGATGGAGAATGTATTTTAGACACCAAAAATTTGAAAATAACTTGCAGACACTTCGGGCTTAAATCAATTTGAACCAAACCCAAAAATTCTGTAGAGTGAATAATGGTCCCAGCTAATGGAGATTAATCGCAAAACTATTATCATGATTATATATACGTATACTATGTGCCTTAAAAGTATATGATAGTCTAGAATCTAGACTATTCTCTGCAGAGTGCTAACAAGAACTAACTATGTAATTGTCTCATCTGGTTTCTTTGATGCTCAATAAGTTAAACACAAAGAATAAGAAGAAAAAGATGAAATACAGCTCTAAATACCCTCGACATCTACGATTTGCCATACTCTTCACAAGATATATAAACCATCATTCAGAGTCTGAATATGTAGCGAAGAAGTTACATGCAAAGATAAATTTCTCACCAAGATCTTCGCGTTTACAACTTGCACTCTCGCAATCTAAATCTATTTTATAGTTTCCAGTACTTCATCCTCTATTTCTATACTCTACACCACTAGCTCTTAACCTAAAGTCTCTCGCAAATTCTTTCTATTAAATTTATTGAGAAATTAAGTTTGAAAAATTTCTACTCAATTTTCCTAAAGGTATCCTGTAGTTTTAGAAAGATTAAGAACTACTGCTCTCGCACTATTTTATTTACCTGTTCCAAAGTTAGATGGGGTAACCAGAAGCAGTAGCTAGATAATTCAAAATGTGAACAAGAGCTTCACTTTGATTGAAATTTATCACATGTTATACTCCATTTTGTAATTTTAAATACTCTATACTCCATTTTGTAATTCTAAATATTCTATACTCCATTTTGTAATTCTAAATATTCTATACTCTATTTTGTAATTTTAAATATTCTGTACCCTATTTTGTAATTTTAAATATTCTGTACTCCATTTTGTAATTCTAAATATTCTATATTCTATTTTGTAATTCTAAATATTCTATACGCTGTTTCGTAATTCTAAATATTCCATACTCCATTTTGTAATTTTAAATATTCTATACTCTATTCGTATATTCTATACTAGAAATTAATTTTCAAATGTTTTTCATATTGTAAAAATAATTTTCATGTAAAAGAATACACGTCAAATAGGATAAATGTAGGACAGAAAAATAAATGACATGACTTTAGCCACTGCCAAGTTGTGGATTCACTATAATATAGATATCTGCATTTTCAGCTTTGCTATGTATGCAAATTTTACATAGACTAGTACTATAATCGTATCTTCATTTATATTAAACATTGTTGAAATGATATCACTATTGTTCATAATTTTATATGTTTTTATCTATATCCGTCATAGATAAACATATGCCTAAATTTATCCATGTCATGACTATCACGGTAGTCTTCAAATCCATGCAAATCTTCAATTTCCTGATTAATTTCAATTTTTAAATTTAAATATTCGTACATACCTGACTTACTCTGTATCCAAATAATCGATCAAATTCGCGTGTCTAAAATTCGCATAATCGACGTTCGACCGTATACCTCAGTGATTTCCAGATAGTTCGAAACACGAAGAACAAACTCAAATTTAGATCTCATTTTTCGAGTAAATCTGTAATGACATTTTCAAAACTCGACGAAGTCGAAATGACGCGCAGCTCATGATACCATATATACCATGAAACAAAGCACAATAGAGGTGCATTCGATTAGTAGAGGATCGTAAACGCAGGAAGGAGAGATGCTCGCGGATGTTGCGGAAGATTATAGGGACTCAGCATGGCGAGCCAATTTTAGCATAATCAAAGTCACGCAGACGACTCGTTCGCCGACGTGTCGGCAGGTTTCGATGTAACATTTGAACAAATATCATCGTGTCCCGAATAAAGAAACATGGGACAGGAAGAGGAGACCGGCGAACCCTGCAATAAATTACTCTTAACTTGTTTGCGTACACCAATCGTTCGCTGGTCTCTCCGTTGTCAAACGGGACTGTACCTTCTTGTTTGCTGGTATATACTTGCTTCTTGTTTCGATTAATTTAATTCGATAGAAATACGCGTTTCGTGGAGAGTTTCACTTCACGATGATTTTGTCAACACTCGTTGTTTGTTGTGTATATAATAAACTTATGTGAAAATTGGCACCTTCATTTTGGATTTTTAGTACAGGTGTATGATTAGTATGAGAGATTAGTATATTCGTAGAAGAGAGAAATTTGGGTGTTCGCGAAAATTGCTATTTGAATTTTTCATTTCCGACGAAGAGATATGATTATAGACGAGATAAATATATAGATATATAAATACAGATATAATAATATATATAGATATATAAATATACAAATTTTTTTATACGGGTTTCTACAGAAATTGCTATTTAAATTTTTTATTTCTCGTAAAGAGATAAATATATAGATATATTAATATACAGATTACTATATATAAATTTCTACAAAATTTTTATTTTTAATTTTTATTTTTATTGAAAAATACTTATTACAAGATATGCTTGTCATTGTATTTCAACAAAAATTGGTATTTTGATTTCTAATATTGTGACATTAGAAAACATTACTACAAAAATTGCTATTTTCATTTTTTATTTTTAGTATAAGGATATATCTCTGAAAGGGAGAAATGAATTTCTTTGTAAAATATATTAAATCTTTTCCTTATAAAAATCTTATACCTTTATTATTAATTATTATTATTATATATATATTATTATTTATTATAAATTTTCGCAAAACTTGCTCTTTTCCTCTAAACTTGAAGACACCTTGCTCTTTCAAATATTTTTAACTATTTTCAACTAAAAATCTACCAATCTGTAAAAAATATCAAAATCTCGTACATGTAGATAACAATAATTCATATACTTTGCTAAAAACAAATACTACATGAAATTACATCATCATCCAATAAAATCCAAAATTAATTTCACCAAAATTTTCCAAAGA